CAAGAGAGGGAAGTATTGACTTTGAACCTCGTACACACCTTCAATTCTTGTATGCTATTTGAATTGCAGTTTTTCTTGTAACATGCCTTCAATCTCAGAGATTGTACCACCTGGAGCATGTAGTTTGAGTTTTATAAGCTGTATCCTCTCTTATTTTCAGCCATGGTATTGGATCTGACAAGACAGTAACACGTGTTCCTGTATAAAGACTAAAATTAATGAGATATCCAAAACTGGTTCTGTTGAAGCATTACTTTCCACGAGGTGTGCCTCTGGTCTCTAACGTATTGAGCTCTTTGTGTGTGTAACTTCCATCAAATAACACCGGCCTGGAAATGTGTGTTGCTTCTGCACATCGTGTGGAAGTAACCTATAGCTTTACAGATATCATAACTGGTCACTCTTTGAGGCTGTGGGGCATAATTGTTCCACTGAACTGATTACCTGCTCATTACCTTATTATCTTCTGTTTGGTCTTTTCTTTGCATTGACTTATCCAGTATGTCTGTAGGATATAAATATCTTATAAAATGGATAGGTTTAGTCGGTCTCCTGTTGTCCTTCTCCCCTCAGGATTTTTCTGAGAGTCTTCTTAATTTCTGCTCCCTGCATAATTTGAATATTGTTCTTCAAAATCAAGTCTCCTTTGGACTTTAATAAATCTGATAAAGACTCATTGTAAAGACCACGTCTTTCTATTTTTCTGTATTTTTGGTTGGAGGCTCAAATGGGAAAATAACTAGTTTAAAAGCAAAGGATTTTTGGTTCATTGCTGAACTTTTTAAAAGCAAGTTACCTGGCACTCATTGCAAGCAAAACCTAGTTATAGACAAGCTAGAGCCAGGAGGTTGTATATGAATGGAGCTTCAATTGGCAAGAAGTAGCTGATAGGTCTAAGGATTAGTAATCAATTATCGATGACAAAGTTGTGATTTCCCAGTGAGGTGTAATATCACCAATAATTCCAGCAACAATTCTGTCTTTTATGAATTTGACTTTTAAAGCTTCATTGTTACAGCTCTCCACTAATTTACAGAAACCATTCATGAAATTATCTATGGATTCCCTGGCTGGTGAATCTGTCTGTAAAATCTTGCACTTTCAAGCACTTTATATGCTTCCAAATTGAAGCAATTATCAAGGGTTGTTAGAACATCTTCAAAAATATCTGTGCTTTATTTTCTTTCTGGTAATTTACAACATCATCAGCTGTAGGACTTAGTGAATGCAATAGAGTATTTACTTGCTCAGCTTGACATTTGGTACTTAATTTGGAAGCAATTCTGTATTGTAAGAACTGGTTTTTCTAAGATATTCAATCACATTGTCTGATTGGCCCATCTCTCAGGTTAAATGCTTTTAATAGTGTTCTTATCCATTCCATTTCTTCTTAATATGGTTATTTATGCACATTCCTTTAAAGATATTATAAATCTGTAGCATCTTGGTATTGTTTTATTCTGTTTTCCTCAAAAATTTAATGATTCTGCATTATACAATGCTGGTGCAATCTTAAGGCTTTGAATCCTCTACTAAAGCAATGTTATTTTAGTTCATTGTTCTTAAAGTTTCTTCAAACCTTTAAAAACTCTATACCTAAGAACATAAGAACTTGGAGCAGGAGTAGACAATTCAGCCCCTCGAGCCTGCTCCATCATTCAATTGATCACGGCTGATCTCAACTCTGCCTCAAATCCACTTTCCTGCCCGCTCTTCAGCCTTTAACCCATTACTAATTAAAAGAATCTGTCCATCATCTCTTTAAATTTATTCAGTGTCCTGGCATCCACTGCACTCTGGGGTACTGAATTCCACAGATTCATGACACTTAGACAGAAGTAATTCCTCCTCATCTCCTCTGTTTAAATTTGCCACACTTTATCCTAAAACAATGACCTCTCATTCTAGATCATTGCTAAATAATAGTAATGTTGCAGTAGTTTATTTATCTGCAAGCATTTAAACTCTATAGTACAATGATGCTATCGTATTTTGTTCCGATAAAGCTTTACATGCTGTATTATGGCAATGCCATAGGGTGCTACTTTTACATTTCAAATCCTTCCTTACAGTGACACTGTATCTTTGTACTGTTTACTAGGGATTTTCCCACCATTGTCCTGTTCCAAATGATGGTTTCCCACTCTGTGGAGGTTTTCTTGCTTTCTACAGCCCAGCTGGAGGTTTCCTGTTCCTTCACTAACCACATGGATGTTTTGCTGCCTTTCATGGTTTACAACACGATGCACATTCCCTCACACACATTTGGAAACAAAATCCTGTGTCTGTGGTGTTCTCATTACTACATGCAGCAAATACATTTAAAGGAATGAACCATTTGTTACATATTTCCATGTGTTGCAACAGATAGCTGTTAAGTGTTAGACTGAGCTAACAGAATTGTTTAAATTTGTACATTTTGTTCTATGTTGTGCATACTAGGACTCACTGGCAGCATTACTAATGCATCAAATTATGTGAAGTCATTCAAGGGGTTACAGGAGGTCATGGCAAATGCAAAATGCTGTCTGGTTTGATCATTTTAGTCATTCCATGTAATTTGGTTGATGTGCTGTACTGTATTACATTACAGTTCCCTTTGCACCCATGAAATCTAATGCTGCTTGGCATCTAGCTTCTATTCACCTCTTCTTTTGCCGTTTGGTTTTTGGAAAATTCTGTAAATGTTGGGATTTCTGGCTCTTGCAATTAGGGGCAGTGACACCACAGGGACTAAGATATAGGATATTTTTGGCATGCATTCTGTCTCCCTGCCTCCATTCCAGATTCTGCAATTGTCCCTAATACCTTTCCTTACCCTCTGCTAATAGTTAATGCCCAAGTTGGTAACGATACCAGGAAATCTGAGCCTTCTTAAATGATGTCAGAGTAAGCAGCCATGGTAACTTCAATATACACATCTGGATGGCTTCTGGGAAGTGTTTGGTTGTTTCCAGATTCCACCTGAAACCAACCACTGACTATTTCAGCCACATTTTTCCCTTAGGTGTCCCAGCACACCTCTGTCCTGAATCATATCTCTCTGTAGCTTCTCTCTGATCCCTCTATGAGGCTCACTCCTGCATCCTCGAACCCCTTCTGACCCAGCTCTTCTTCACACTTTCACCAGTCCCCAGTCTAGTATTCACAGACTTCAGGAATGCCCACCTTCTCTTAGGGTCCGTCCTCCCAACTGTTCAAAAGTAACAGAACAAGGATAATAGTATTTTCGTAGTAGATATATTTTTTCAGATTAAAAACAACACTTCTGAAAATTGAATGAAGAGTGATGATGGTGTAATGGTAATGTCACTGGGTTAGTAAGCGAGAGGCCTAGCTTAATACCATGGGGTCATGGGTTAAAATCCCACTATGGCAAGGTGGTAATGTAGTGCTGGGGAAGAAAATCTGCCAACTTTACCTGATCTGCTCTACAAATGATTCTCGTCCTATGGCAACGTTTAACTGCCTTTGGAAATTGCCTGGCATTTTGGGATAGACAAACAAATTCTGACCTTGCCAGCAACAACCCCATCCCACAAAAGAACAAAGTGTGAGGGGACACAAATTTCCTAAACTGAACCTTTCGTCAAAATTATTTGAAGCAATCACCGCCTTTTTGTGGTACAGTTCCCATTTTGTGTAACGCACCATTTGTAGGGTGTGATTTTTTTTTTTTAAGAAGAACTTGTGTCTCACATTCTCAACTGTTTAAAATCCATCCCATTAAATATGCAGGAGGGAGTTGATTGCAATGCAGTGATAATTTCATATAAATGGTTTAACTGCAACAGCTGCTGATTATTTTAAAGAATGCATGCATTCTGATTGTAGGGTCGGTTCCACCCCATCATTGAGGTCCAGGATGCCTCTTTTTCTATGATGAGCAGTGAGATTAACATATACAACGACATGTGCAATCAGCAAAAAAGTTCAAGCTCTTTTAATGGAATCTTCAAAACACACAAAGTCTACCAGACAGGAGAACAAGGGCACCACCACCGTCAAATTCCCCTCACCATACTGACTTCAAACTATGTCATCGTTGCTTCAGTCACTGGGTCCAAATCTTGAAACTCCCCTCTGAATGGCATTGTGGATTTACCTGCACCACTTAGACTGCAGCGGTTCAAGGCGGCAACTCATTGCCTACTATTCCAAGGACAATTAGGAATAGGCAATAAATATTGACCTTGCCACTGACGTCCATGTCTCATGAATAAATTAAAAAACACTCAATAAATCTTTCAGTCCAGTGGATAAAGCAAAGCATAGAATGGGAGTAATCCATAAAGACCAAGAAAAGATTCAATCTGATTTCACAACTTAAATAAAATTAGGTAATGGAAAGATAACTAGCCTCCCAAATGCCTGATAGCTTCTTCTTCTTCACATCTACAGCCTTCATCTGTTTTCATAGTCAGACTTGCACAAAACATGTCACTTCTACCCTGCAACCAGGGGCTGTAGATTGAGAGGGGCATATCTCTGCATCAACTATAACTGACCAGGAGATCTCCTGCAAGCACCACTTGCCACAGGCATATCAGGATCTACAGGTTGTTAATCAACCTGTTTGACCATGTTACAAACACATGTTCCATGATCAACAAGTCCTGGAATGGGAATTGAACCCAGAGCTTCTGTCACATGACTGCCGCAACAAAGACTTCCCTACATGCCTGATATGATGTGAGTTAACAGTGTGTGTTCAATTCCTGTACTGGCTGAAGTTACCATTGAGGTCCCACTTTCTCAACTTCACCCCTCGCTGAGGCTCCCCACTAGTCATCTTTCTTTTTCTGTCTCTAACAAGAGTATGGGACTATGGTTACTTTACCCTTTACTGTGTGCAACCTGGATCATCTACATTATTGACTGTTTCCTAGGAATAGCATTGGTTTGCCATGTTTAGGGGCAGTAATGATCCCAACAAGTTGTACTAAAAAAATGATCATAGCACTTGAGAATAGCATATTCAGCGCACTGCTCCAGCTCACCTGAGTCATGTGCTTTGTCTGGCTATTAACACCAGCCCCTGTTAGACTTTCCGCCTTGATCCCAGCTGCCTGTAACTTGTCACTACTCTTGATCCAGCCCAGCATGGCATGAGTGCTCTGTCGTGTTTTTGTGAAGACAATCCCTCGGGAGTTTGAGTCCTTGAATCGCCTCAGGAGAGTTTGCTCCAATTTGTCCAGCTTCGGATTTTCATACGCTTTATTTAAGGCAAGTAAGTGCAGCTTGGTTTTATAATCTAATGAGAGGAGCAAAGAGTGAGTGGATGGGAAAAACATAAACAATCATTAATTAACAAATTGACCGTTAAATGGATCCATTCATTCTCCTAACATTTGTATGAAATTACAATATGTTTACATAAAATAAAATCCTGGTATTTCTCATACAAACTGTATTTTTTCTTTCTCTTATCTCCCAGGCCTCTCCTGATGTGCAAGTCTTCTTGAAATATTATCTGCTGTCGTGTCTACTCTTTAATAAATAAGCCTCGCCAGTGAGTGTAGCCAATCCTATTTGACTGTGGAAGCATCACTGTAGAACCTCACTGTTCACCGGATGTATATACACTTTCACCTCCAACACTATTAATGCACAGTAGCAACAGTGTTTTGCTATCTACTGTATAAGATACACGGTAATAAGTCACCAAGACTCCTTTGGCAGCATCTTCCTAAATCATGTCTGACAAGGGCAGAAAATGCATGGGAACACCATCATCTTGAGGTCCTCCACTAAGCCACCCAACTCTTGACCAAGAACTAGGTCACTGTCACTTGGCCAGAGGATTGGAATTCACTTCTTAACAGCACTGTGGATGAACCAGCACCATATGGACTGCAGCAGTTTCTTTAAAAAGTATTTGCAGGTGTGGATGGGCATCAGTGGCTAGGCCAGAAGTTATTGCACATCTCTTATTGAGCATGAAGAGGGGCTGGTGAGCAATATTCTTGAGCCATTGCGATTAGAGTGAAGGAAGGAATGTAGCAGTAATGTCACTGGACCAGTAATCCAGAGGCTCTGTAGATGGAGTATCTTACAGCCACGGTGCACTAATGCTGAATGGGGTATCAAGCAGGCAACTTCTTTCTGGACGGTACCAAGGTTCTTAAGTGTTATTATTGGCATATTTATCCAGGTAATGTAGGGCAATTGTCACATTCCTGACTAGTACCTTGTACATGGTGGGCAGGTTCTGAGTCATGAGATGAGTTACTCTTCTCATAATTCTCTATTTCTGACCTACTCTTGTAGCCACAGTATTTTAATGGTAGGTCCAGTTCAGTTTCTAGTCAATGATTACACACAGGATGTTGATGGTGGAGGATTTAGTGATGGTAATGCAACTGAATGTCAAGGGAAGATGGTTAGTTAGAGATGGTCATTGCCTGATACTTATTGTGATGCAAATGTTATTTGCCACTTCTCAGGCCAAGCCTGGATATTGCCCAAGTCTTTCTGCATTTGGACACAAACTGTTTCACTATCTGAAGGGCCTTGAATGATGTCAAGCATTGTACAAACATTGACAAATGTTCCCACTTTTGATCCTACGATGAAAGGAAGGTCATTGACGAAGCAGATGAAGTTGGTTGGGCTTAGGACACCACCCTGAGAAATTACTCTAGAAATCACAGAATGACTATATTGTGGAATCAGGCCATTTGGCCCATCAGGTCCACACCAAATCTCCGAGGAGCATCCCACCCAGACACATCCCATCCCTGTAATCCTGCATTTCACATGGCCTGCTCAACTTTGGATTGTAACAGGAAAATGGAGCACTGGGAGGAGACATAGGGAGAATGAATCCTTACCATTAAATACTTTGAGGAGGAACCCATCTGTTTGATCAAGACTATTTTTGCTGCTCTCCTCAGTACTGTAGAATTCTGCAAGGTTCTGAAAGGCATCAATCATGCGCACTGTGTCATTGATCAGAAGGGAATCATTGTATTTCCGGAGGTGAAGGGCACAGTTACGCTTTTTTCTGTCAAAAGTAATGGCTCCTGGCAACATCCAAATATAGAATTGTTGTTAGTCATGCAGAATTCTTACATGGCCTGGAAATACAGTTATGTCCAAGATCAGATTTGAGGAATATATGCTGTATGCGCCTAATTGTGTAGATGCAGGAACTTCTAAAAAGTGAATGCTGGCCAGCTCATTATCATTAACTGTTATTTTTCTAACAATCTTTAGTCTATTGTTTCTGGTTTACTCTGAAACCCAGGGACATTTTATGAACTGTCGAGCAGCCATAAGTCTGCTGGTAGTAATCTCACTTGTCAGTCACAAGACTCAATGTTCTTGAATCTACTTTTGAACAGAATCAAGGCTAACATCCTGATCCCTTACTGAAGGAGCACCAAGCTACTGGAAGTGACATATCAGTTGTTAAACTAAGTCAGATTTGCCCTCTCATGTGAACTTACAAGGTTCCACAACACTGTTTAGAGGAAGATGAGTGCAGTTGTCTCCAGCGTCCCAGCCAATATTCATCCCTCCAACATTACATAAACAGATAATCTGGTTATTATCGAATGGCTGTATGTGGGACTTTGACATTTTCCAGTCAATCTCTTCAGAGGTGTTATTACACACTTCTGGAACAAGTGGGACTTAAACACAGGCCTGTTTAACCAGAGATAGGGAGACTACTATTCTACCACAAGAGCCTTTATTAATGTACAGGGGATCCCCAATTTACAACGTCCAACTTATGAGTGCAATCTCATATAAGGGTTTAATTTTAAAGATCCGATGCATGAATGTTTTCTGTACTTATAAACGGCTCCTTTATATTGTCCTGTATTGTGTTCGACTTGCGTACAAATCGATTTGCGAATGGAACACATTTGCAGACTGGGCACTGCCTGCATACATTTTTTGTTTTAAATCTACCTATTCAGGCGTGCTATGACACACCTCAGGAGCAGGTGGAACTTGAACCCAAGTCTACTGGCTGAGAGGCAGAGATACGATCACTATGCCACAAGGGCTCTTAAAACCAGGAATCTGTTCTTTTGCAGGACATTAATGTACACAGATTGGCTGCTGCATTTCACACATCAAAGCAGTGACTATCTTTTAATTAATTGGCTGTAAAGTGCTGTGTGATGTATGATGACTATGAAGAGTGCTACATAAATACAAGTCCCTCTTTTCAAGTCCCCCAGTTCTGAGGAAGGGTCACCGGACCGGCAACATTAACTCTGATTTTTTCTTCACAGATGCTGCCAGACTTGAACTTCCAGCAACTTCTGTTTTCGTCCCTCTTTCCTTTGCTTGGCAGCTGATTTTGGTATTAGTTATTTGGAGCACCCTATATGATTCCTTCTTTTTCTCAACAGGGCTGTGTTTAATGTTTTGATTTCTCAAGTAAATCTATGCCGTTGAGAGGTATAGCATACCTCCAATTTGGTGTTTTACATTTCCTGATTTTGCTTATCTTCTGAAATGATGTAAATTATCTATGCCTTGTTGCAAAGTGGTCACAATGTAAACCATTCCCTCACCTTCTTTCTCCAACTCCACAACTGATTGCTCATAAATCTGTGACCCGAAAAGACCCAAAATTGAAGGTACGTTCAAATAGGAGTGGATAGTTCTCATCATCACTTTAATTGTGTCCCCAAAGGGGTCCTGGATGATCATGGGAAGAAAAAGTAAGAATCAAATTAGAAAGAGCTGTTTAAAACAAAATTCCAAATTTGTGAGGTAAAACAATCTCTTTTCTTCATGTTTTTAAAATTTTAAAATTTCAGGTTTTCTATATTTTAGTTTGATTGAAAGGGAAGGAATATATATGGTATGGTCTCAATGAAAATTCAGTGGTTCAATAGCTCGTGTAATCTAGCTCATGTAAAGCTGAACTATACCCTTGCACCATGTTAACCTTAAGCACAGCTGAAGTGACAATGATGCACAGTGAACTAGTGTATAGTCCATTCGTTCATAGCATTAAGTTAGTCATTAGATTACTGAAACAAAAACAGAAATTGCTGGAGAAACTCAGCACATCTGACAACATCTGTGGGAAGAAAGCAGGTTAACGTTTCGCCGAGCAACTCTGAGCAGTCTGAAGAGTCACCAGACTTAAAACATTAACTCTACTTTCTTCCGACAGATGCTGCCAGACCTGCTGAGTTTCTCCAGCAATAGAACATAGAACATAGAACAGTACAGCACAGTACAGGCCCTTCGGCCCATGATGTTCTGCCAAACTTTTACCCTAAACCTAAGGTCTATCTAACCTCCACCCCTACCTTATACTATCATCCATATGCCTATCTAATTGCCGCTTAAATGCCCCTAATGAGGCCGACTCCACTACCCGCTCCGGCAACGCATTCCACTCTCCTACCACTCTCTGAGTAAAGAACCTACCTCTGACGTCTCCCCTATATCTACCTCCACTCACTTTAAAACTATGCCCCCTCCTAATAGCTACCTCCACCCTAGGAAAAAGTCTCTGGCTGTCCACCCTATCTATACCTCTGATCATTTTGTACCCCTCCATCAAGTCACCTCACATCCTTCGTCGTTCTAAAGAGAAAAGCCTTAGTTCTCTCACCCTTTCCTCGTAAGACCTTCCCTCCATTCCAGGCAACATCCTGGTAAATCTCCTCTGCACCTTTTCCGACACTTCCACATCTTTCCTGTTATTTTTCTGTTTTTGTTTCAGATCTCCAACATCTGCACTTCTTTTTTGATATTCATTTACTGATATGTTATCTGACGTAAGTGGATAGGAGAGGGTCGGTGCAGTAGAAATCAATGCAATGAGAATGAGATGGAATGGGTGCAGCCCATACATTTTGAAACTCTCACTATTTGTGGTCATTCATGTTAGCTGTAGATTTATCTCAGTGGCAGAAGGTCCAGTGGGGAACAGAGGAGTATATCCAGGGAGTGACATAAGTTCATTTCTGTGACAAGGAAATAAATCCTACTTGGAATCAGAGGATGAAAAGGGTGTCTTCCCCATTAGTTTATGAACACACAGTTGGGCAATGTCAGTTACGGTTAAGACATCAGAAAAATTAACAGCCCATGACTGAGTAATGACTGAGTGATTGCAGAGATCACAAAAATAGCTGGAAACTGGAAAATTAAAATCTGTGTGGTTTGGGTGAAGTTAAATTCTGATGTTATGACAAGATATACAATTCCAGTGGTGGGAAATAGTTCAAACTGGGTTAGAGCTTGGCCTGCACTCTGTCCGAGGATGGGAGACCATCAGAAATCTGCCCCGACCGAGTCCCGGGCTTGGAGTTCTCCCAGGAGGGATAACATCCCGGATTCACTCCCTTCCCACGGTGGGGGGTCGTTCAAACTGGGTCAGAGCATATCCTGCACCCTGTCCAAGTGCAGAGGGATCTTACACAAATATTCAGACACGTTAAATAATAATTGCCAGGGCTGTAAATCTGGATGAGAGATTTGATAATAAAATTAGAATGTTACATAAAATTTTGTGCTTAAATCAGTTTTTTGCTTACATGGTGTTGTGTGATTAGATATAAAAACTGTCTGATTTCAGCTTGTTACGTAGCTCAATCAAACGATCTAAGGAGAAAGTAAATTGAGCAGATAACAGGATGTTTCCCAATGGGAGAGGAAGACTTGCCCAAACATATACTAATATTAACCACTATTCTGGCCCTTTGCACAAACAGCAATAGAGAAGAACCACAGACCCTCTACCCAGTTTCTTGGTGAGGGAGTGATGCACACAGTCTACAACCCTGAGGAATGGAGATGATTCCTACAAAGGTAGGTGGGATAGCAAGTGGGCATGAGTTAATTCTACTAACTAGGGCACTAAGAAGCATGGCAACAAAGCTTTGAGAGACCATGATAATCAGTATGTGTAGGAGTAGGGGCTATTGCTGAGTTTTTGTTTATGTCGGAATATGAGTCTAAATTTATTCAGAAAATTAGCCTAGGATAGCTTGCGAAAGAAGGTTTCCATCAATATTTCTCTACAGAAGAGTATTTGAGATTGAGAATTTATCACATGGTAGATTATAAATAGCATAATCTAGTGTGTACCATTTTGCTATACTGTTAGGAAGTTGTAGCAAATAATGGTGCATGAATATTATTTTGCAGATACATATATACATTTATGGGTTTCCTAATTTAAAGTGTGCAGAAGGCAAAGTTTTGTACCTCTTTTCTTTCTTCTGTAATGTCATATATTTTTACAGGCTGAGGGATGCTATCTTTTAGCTCTTTTACACACTCCTTGGAGGATGTTATCATAGCGGCATCCATATTAGCACAGATCTGTCACAAATAGAATATACATTGGACGTCAATAAATTAATACAGTATGTTAACATTACAATTAATGTTCAAATTAACTGTGCTAAGCTCCAAATCAATTATATATTTTTCTTCTGCTGTGTGAATAAGTTGCTTTCCTCAATTCTCTCAGTGCTTGGCAATTTGGAATTGCCCAGTGAGTCCAACAATCAACAGTGCTTAGAATTCCAAATGAATTGAGTAAAGGCATACTGCATCCAAGTACACCAAGGCATTGAACTGGGATGTAAAACTGCCAAAACCCAAATAAATCTTCCAGTTTTATTTCCGTTGTAGATTTACTTTGAACCTACATTCCAAATCTCCTGAAAAGGCCAATTTTATTTATTGAGAAGTCAAGTGCAGCTTTCAAACCAGTGAAATTACTGTTGCAGTGCATGCTCACTCCACATTCAGTCTCATTGACCTTCATTTCAAAGCAGTCTTTTTTTTTAAAAAAAAGCAAAAGCCCATCAGGGCGAGAGTTAATTATAACAATAACTCAAGTGAGACAGAACTTATTAAATGGTTTATTCAGCTTATAACTATTATTTGAACTGTGAGATTAGATGATGGCTTCTGAAATTAGTCTCGGCTACTTGGTTTATGAAGAGAAAAATCCTCATTAACTTGGTTTAGCTCTATTTTTGAGCTGTGGTTTTTGCTAGTGACTGCATGCACACAACATGCATTGTATCACAGTGAGTTGAAAGATGATTCAGCACATAGCAATGCATTTTGCATTAGTATTTACAATAACTAGTATGCAGTTTAGTACATAATATGAACTGGCTGATATTATTGTTACAAAGTCAGCATTTCATGATTACAATTTTCCTTCCAGATTCCAAAGTGATAACTATTAGGACTTTTTCAGTTTACAGCAGAGATATCCAGGGTTTAGTTATTGTGGGCAGAAGAAAACAACACAATAGGCCCTCAGACAAATTTGCCTCATAGTTTGCTTATAATTTAGTTTGCCCATATCAACAGATCTGTGCATTTTAGTTTAAGATTTATTTAGTGAGAAGGCAGTGATATCTTAATAAAAGACGTGCCAAACTTCTGAACCCATGAAACAGAAATTGGACAAACCACCGAATAGGAAATATTAGCACAAAGAGATTGGACTGGCTAAGCTCTTGGGAGGTCAGCGTTGGTGCGCTTCACTGAGGCAACTTAGTCCTGAAGAATGATAATACCCGAAACGTTGACTGCTCCTTTCCTCCATACGCTGCCTGGCTTGCAGTGTTCTTCCAGCCTCCTGTTTGTCTACCTTGGATTCCAGCATCTGCAGTTCTTTTTTGTCTCTAACTGCTTGACATCACTGGTTTAGACATTACAGGCAATTCAGGAACCAGGATTCATGCTAAGGGATGCATTAAAGCTGGGGGCAGCAGCCGCTAAGGCACAGTGGGGAAAGGCCACTGTCTGAGGTCTTCCCGCTATTGTTAAATGAGGAACGGTTAATTATCAGACCCCTCCTGCTGCCTCAAAAGCATACAAATAGAGCCTGGTTCAAGCAAGAGATGCCTTTGATTTGTTTGCATACAGTCAAATGTTTGTTTGTTTCCTCGGTACGTTATTGTACTGAACCAAACAACATTTGTGACTATGTATGTATACAAGGACCTTTTTTTTAATGAATAAAGTATATGTCAAAAAAAAAAGGCAATTCAGGGTAAGAGCAAAAGTTGCCCGAACAGAATTTCTGGGGATATGTCAACGTTAGTCAATATCTGAGAAATGTTTTAAGTGAGAGGTTTCATTGTGACTCAAACGTTGGACGAACCTGTAAGATATGTTTCTTTGCACGTTCCAAAGTGTTGGCTCCATCTGTTCCGGGTGATGCTGTCAATCCAAGGATCTGAGGTAAACCCTTTGTATGCTGATGCTTTTTCTCAATATAGTGTCCCATGATTTTATTATATACTCCATCTTTCTGGGTGTGATGACACTCATCAATTATCAGCAGCGAGAATTCTGCATTTAAAAAAAAAATTAAAAAGCTCTTTCTTAAAGAAGGCTTTGAAAATCCTGAACATTCTTACTTCAAGATTTCATTGCTTGAGTCTGAGTGAGTTCCACCATCAAGAACTAATCTTTCATGAATTATTTCACAAACAAACAATGCACAAATGACAGATCTATTATCAGTATTCAGAATTTTGTAACACAACATTATAAATCAATTACATTAGTAGGCATTAGTAATGACTATCTTACAACATAAATGTCAAAGATTTGTATACAGGAAACCTGGTTGGATGGAATAAATTCGTGAATTCCTAAGAAAATAGTTGAAAATCTCACTATTTCTTAGCAGTCCTGCAATTACAGAAGAGCTACAACAAACCCCTTGTACATAGTCATGATTAATAAAATCATAGAACACCTGTACAAATATCCATAATGAGAGAATGCCCCTCTGAAGAATACAGAACCCATAATTGATTAATTAAATTTAAAAGCAACAGATCCACATTATGGACTTATTGGAATTCTATAACTAAATAGATTGCCATCCATTAAGCATAATATTTGGATTTGCAGATGGCAATATTCTACAGGTGACATTTCCAACATAACAGCGAAGCTTATGGATGTACCAGTAAATAATTTAATCATATTGAAAGCTGGCTCCAGTATTGGAGGCCAAGACCAACTGTAAATGGAACAAAGCTCTGGATAATTTTTTACCAACCTTTTCTGGTTCTGTGCCTTCAGCTTTTACCCTTACCATTGACTCTATGACACAGAAGAAACAAGCAACACTTCTCATTCAGAGATTCATAGCTCTGATGGAATGTTTCTTTCCTAAAATCAGAGGGGTGACCATGAATTTAAAGTGAGCTCACTGTTGTAGGAAATAGAACAAATGAGAGAAAAAAAAAAATCAAAAGTAACCATTCCCTATTAACATTAGGGCTGATTTCTAAACATTTCCAATATAAAATCCAGTTCAACTTCTTTTAAAACTTGAGAGAAAATGCTATTTGAACTGGTTTTTCCCTCCAGAAGGCCTGCATTTTCATAAGTAGATCCAGATATTTAGTAGAATCCTAGACTATTCTCTCGTCTTCAACTTGTGAATGGGTGATCAAAACAATGGAACTTTTTTGTGGGACTGGGGATGTGATGTAATTACTTGTACACCCTTCCATTCCATCGTCAATGTGATTTTGGATCAGTGGTCATTCCCATTGAGTTTACATTTTACATTTAAGAATGTGCATTTATTGCCTAATATCTAAATACACCATCATTGAGGAACAATCTCAGGGATCCTGTGGTCTGCATTTAGTACGACATTTTTCTTCACTTGTCCAAACAATGTAGTTCTTCATCATTTTTGACAGCTGACTGAGAAGCGTTGTTAGATGAGACCACATTCAAGTTGTTAAGTTTCTTTATTTCAAAATGATCAAAGCAAATTTAACTGAATCTCACTGCTATCAGGGATTGGGGGATGGAGAGAGAATTAAGATGATGAACTGTCCTTTCAATGGGCTGGCCTCCTGTTTTTTTGGCATTACTTTTATTTCTAAGTCATTAACTGTGCAACCTGATTTTCTTGCTCTAGACAGAAGGTTGTGTCTCTCAATCCTGTGTAAAACCAGTTGCACATACATCTCTTTATCCTTTCCTTTTTTCTCTATTAATTTTGACCTGATGGAACAGAAAGGCACCTTCCAGTGTCAGCGTTTGTTAGCAGGCCTAACTACTGAGTTGAAAATAGTGGCTCCCAGAAGTATGGCTGTAAACATTAGCTGGCCATCTGGAAACAGGATGCTTAATTGTTTAGTGCCCCTCATCATCCCACTTGGGATGGGAATGTAACTGAAGAGTTGTAACATTCTGCAAAGTTTGGCGCTAACACCCATTGTCAATACATGTCTTTATAAACTTTCATAAAATTACAGCTTCAAGCACATTCAAAATGGAGCTCAAACCTAAAACAATTACCATGAAGAAGAAAATTATTTCGAAGCCCCACTACCTGACAGCTACCAAGACGAACCCAGAGGAGCCCAACATTCTATCTGCCAGATTTGGGATATTTCTTACTGGAACAATGGTGCGGCTTATTTACTGTTCTAGTTAAAAAGTAAAACAATTTTAAATCCATGATGTGGAGGTGCCGGTGTCAGACTGGGGTGGACAAAGTTAGAAGCCACACGACACCAGGTTATAGTCCAACAGGTTTATTTGAAATCACCAGCTTTTGGGCGCTGCTCCTTCGTCAGGTGAGATGGGACTTCACTTGGCGAAGGAGCAGCACTTCGAAAGCTGGTGATTTCAAATAAATCCGTTGGACTATAAACTGGTGTCGTGTGGCTTATGAATTTTAAATCCAGTGTGGCTTTTGTTTTATAGGATGCATTGATTAAATTCCCCTACCTGTTAGGTCCACATGCTTTTCTTCTTCAGTGCTGGTCAGTGCATTTTGCAGAATCTGTGCTGTGCAGATAATGACATCATAATTCCGGACAGCGAGTGCAAAATGATCTTTCAGTTCACTGTCACCACTTATGGGCGCCACCCGATACGCATGCTTCAGCGCAGGCTCAAACTCGTTTTCATAATGTTGGTTCACCAGAGGCACCTATACAGACCACCATTTTAGAGAAAGGATACCTGTGCATAACTTCATTTGCAGTACAGCTAAGCATAGTGTTGATTCCTGCGGACTGATGTGGTAAGAATCCCAGGCAGTAAACTCAATAGTTGTCACACTAGATAAGCAGTTGAAAGCAGCTCATTCAAAAAGCCATATGCCAACGCTACCATTTTAATAAAACAAAGAAGTGCGGTCGCTGGATATCTCAAACAAAAGCAGAAGAACTTGGTGGAGAAACTCAGCAGGTCTGGCACCATCTGTGGAGAGAAAACAAAGTCAAAGCTTTGGGTCCAGTTCTGAAGGAGGGTCAACAGGGCTTGAAATATCAACTCTGTTTTCTCTCCACAGATGCTGCCGGACCTACTGAGTTTCTCCAGCGATTTCTGTTTTTATTTCACAGTCCCATTTTATTTGCATACAACTGTTGCTCAAACTTACTTTTGCTTCTTGAGATGAAGGCTTTGTGATGCAGTGGTAGGGTCCCTACCTCCAAGCAAGGAGGCCTGGGTTCAAGACCCACCTACACCAAGTGTGTAATAACATCCCTGAACAGGTTGATTAGAAAATATTTAAAGCTGATTTATAACACTCAGGAAATTTTCATAAGCAACAAGTACTGATGACACTGGGACTGGGTTAGTTCAATGCTCAAAATTATAATCCTTCTGGGTAGTGTGAATGGCCAGCAGTAGAGAAACACTGTGCTAATATTCTCTCTTGCCTCCATTGGTAATGCTTTTCACAACCAACCCTGTAAACAGATGCAGTCAAAAAGCATCTTCATCCCCACTGAGGGGGCTTGGGGAAGGTTGACTTTGAACATACTCCAAAGTAGTTTTGACGGATACTTTACTGCTGTAGAAATGATGGCTCCTGCTCTCTGAAATATATATGATCAGTATCCATTTTTGGTTGTGATGTTACACTTCAGTCCTGCACATATTTTGGAAACGTAGTAAAAATTCAACTCCCCTGACAAAGTGCAAATGAGAAATGCATAAAAGTTACCCAGCTGTGTTATTAATTTGAAGTGATTAATTTGCAGTATACTAACATTAAAGCCTGTTTTTCACAACATTCAACATTCCTTCAGTATATTGGTATCAATGTGTTGTGTAAACCCTGTGACACTAAAGTGTCAGCAATGGCTCACTCTGGCCCTTGAGATATGATTTTCTGCTCTCAAGCCCCAATCCAGGTCTGAGCACAAAATAATATCAAAGGCAGTGTTGAAGGAATGCTGTTCTGTCAGTGGAACTGTCTGTCAGATGAGACATTAAGTTGAGGCCCCATGTACCTGCTCAGGTGTGTGGCAAAGAACCCATATATATATCTTTTAATTCATTCACAGGATAAGGTTAGGCCAGCATTTATTGCCCATCCCTAATTGCCCAGAGGGCACGTGAGAATCAGCCACATTGCTGTGGGTCTGGAGTCATGCGTAGGCCAGACCAGCTATAGATGGCAGTTTCCTTCCCTAAAGGACATTAATGAACCAGATGGGCTATCGCCCACCAAAAATCAACACCAGTTTCATGGTCATCATTAGACTATTCAAATTCCCAATTTAATCCAAATTCCACGATCTGTCACGGCAGGATTTGAACCCAGCTCCTCCAAATCATTACTAAGGCCTCTGGATTAATAGTCTAGCAATAATACCACTCGGCCATTACCTCCTGTTGATGCTAGCTTGAGGAAGAATAGGGGAGTTATCCTCGGTGTCCTGGCCATTATTTATTCCTCAAACAAAATCACAAAAACAGATTATCTGGTCATTATTGCATTGCCTGTTTATGGGAATTTGGTGTGCACAGACAGGCTACAGTGTTTCCTATATTAGAACAGTGACTATTATACTTCAGAATTCCTTCATTGGTTGCAAAATACCTTGAGATGTGCGGAGGCCACAAAAACTACAATAAAATTGCAGGTTTTTTTTAATATTTTGAATCAAAAGATGTTTTTCAAGGTTTCACTTTCATTTCTGCCTTCAGGCAACAAAACAATCACAATAAAAGAAATGGAGAAAACAAACAGAAAGACGTAGGAACTGACAGAGTCAAATAGAAAGAGAAGCTCAGTAGACAGATCTAAATCATTCTTGAGTTACGCTTTCCCAAATACTCTTCAAAGTAACCACAAGAACAGCTATCATTACTGCATACCCGTTCCATTTTAACACTTTGAGGGCAATATGATAAAAATTGTACTTAAACACACTATGTTTGTAAAATGCTTGCAAAATGAAACAAAAATCAAAAGTAGATATGGCTGATCATGGCACTGTGTCATCAATTAGAATCACAGACGGATAAAGAACAGGCGGCCATTTGGCCCATTGTGTATTCTGTAAAGGAATTCAGTTAATTCTGACGGTTAGCCCTTCAGCTAAAGTCTGTGGATCCTGCTTATCAACCTGACAGCCAATGCAGTCTGTGACTTTCTATACGTTAGCCCGAGAAACGTATACCAGGAAGACTTGCATGCTTGTTGAGTCAGATACCTTGAAGTTTATTAACAATGCTGACTGTTTACATGGCTAAAATATCACAGTCTTACACATATAGCCTGGGTTCTGTGCTTAATGATAATACATACGTTATACACATATGTAACTTTATACTGGAATGCCACATGTCCTGATGCCATGTAACTGTTTTAAAGGTACAGGCCTTTCTGGAATGTGATCTATATCAGAATATAAAGCATGCAAGTGAATCCCTCATCCATGAAACCATTCCAGTAAATCCTTTTCATGTCATATTCATTCCTACTTCGAGTAATACGTTACCTTGCTATGCAGTACTGTTCAATTAAACAGTAATATTAATTATTCTTTTGTTTTAACATAAATAGTGACTTTTTATTACCTTATTTACAAGAACAGCTACTTTGCCTTTGCCTCCCTTTGTTTCTAGGTGGTATCTGGTAACAAACACAGCTGCACGGGTCTTGCCCCCACCTGTTGGGAGCCATATGATGATATTCTTGCCCCGAAGAGCAGGCTGTATAACCTCCCACTGGTAGTTCCGCAGATCAATTTGCATTATATATCTGAAACAGCACTGAAAGAAATTAACATTTCTCCACCAATAAACTGACTAGAAATGAACAGGCCATGGATTTAGTTCAGGATTAAATCATTCTAAAATACTGTCATTTACCAAAAACAGGGTAGTTTCTACTTACATTTCCCTTTTTAAAGATGTATTAGTAAGATATGTGGAATCTGACAATCAAGGTCATGGGATGTGGATATCATTAGCTAGGTCAGCATTTATTGCCCATTCCTAGTTACCCAGAGGGCATTTTACAGTCAATCACATTGCTGTGGGTCCAGAGTCACATATAGGCCAGACTGGGTAAGGGCAGCAGATTTCCTTCAACATCGAACATCGAACATTACAGCGCAGTACAGGCCCTTCGGCCCTCGATGTTGCGCCGACCTGTGAAGCCCATCTAACCTAAACTATTCCATTATCATCCATATGTTTATCCAATGACCATTTAAATGCCCTTAAAGTGGGCGAGTCTACTATTTTTGCAGGCAGGGCATTCCACGCCCTTACTACTCTCTGAGTAAAGAACCTACCTCTGACATCTGTCCTATATCTATCACCCCTCAATTTAAAGCTATGTCCCCTCGTGCTAGCCATCACCATCCGAGGAAAAAGGCTCCCACTGTCCACCCTATCTAATCCTCTGATCTTGTATTTCTCTATCAAGTCACCTCTTAACTTTCTTCTCTCTAACGAAAACAGCCTCAAAACCCTCAGCCTTTCCTCATAAGACCTTCCCTCCATACCAGGCAACATCCTGGTAAATCTCCTCTGCACCCTTTCCAATGCTTCCACATCCTTCCTATAATGAGGTGACCACAACTGTACACAATACTCCAAGTGCGGCCGCACCAGAGTTTTGTACAGCTGCAACATGACCTCATGGCTCCGAAACTCAATCCCTCTACCAATAAAACCTAACATACTGTACGCCTTCTTAACAACGCTATCAACCTGGGTGGCAACTTTCAGTGATCTATGCACATGGACACCGAGATCTTTCTGCTCATCCACACTACCAAGAATCTTACCATTAGCCCAGTACTCTGTATTCCTGTTACTCCTTCCAAAGTGAATCACCTCACACTTTTCCGCATTAAACTCCATTTGCCATCTCTCAGCCCAGCTCTGCAGCTTATCTATGTTCCTCTGTAACCTGCAACATCCTTCCGCACTATCTACAACTCCACCGACTTTGGTGTCATCCGCAAATTTACTAACCCATCCTTCTACGCCCTCATCCAGGTCATTTATAAAAATGACAAACAGCAGTGGCCCCAAAACAGATCCTTGAGGTACACCACTAGTAACTGAACTCCAGGATGAACATTTCCCATCAACCACCACCCTCTGTCTTCTTACATGAGTGAACCAAAGGGGTTCTTAGCTCATTAGTTACGTTAGGTTAGCTTTTAATTGCAGATTTTATTGAATTTAAACTATGTCCATTAGCCTGAAGTTCTGGATTACTATTCCAGTGACATCCCCGCGACATCACTACCTCCCCGGCAGTGGAATTAAAGTGTGATGAAGTCTGTAAGAGAGCTGAATCTTCAGTTACCAAGGGCAAAAGATCACAGTGAGAGGAATTCACGGTACGAAGCATGTACAAGCCAGAGATAGTTAATGGACTGGTTCAATTTTCCAAAATTGCTTTGATTCAAGAAGGTTACATTATTTTGGAAAATTGTGATTGCAAAGGGATAGAGGCAGAAAACAGGCCAGTTAACTTAACACCTGCTGCAGTGAAAATTTTAGACTATGATTAAAGGGCATATAGATAAGTTCACTGCCATCAGAGCAATGGGAAGACTGTTTCAGTGATAGTCATGTTGACATGTAGGAGATGCTGCAGCTGCATCTGAAAAGACTTTAAATGTTTAACTGTTTTGAGGACATAAGAAATGGTGTGAAAACCTCTCAGAAATGTATGTTCTGCAGCCAATTGGACAGCAGGCTTTACTAGACCTGAAACTGTGCATGGGGTTAATGAATAATGATGTCCCAGTGTAGGCACCGCCAGACAGCAGTGACCATAATACAATTGAATTTTAAATTCAGTTTGAGAGAGAGAAAGGAATGAGTTTGAGACTACTTATTAAACATTAAATAAGGGCAATTATGAGATCATGGAAGCAGAGTTGACTAAAGTGGATTGGCAAATTAAGTTAAAGCATAGGTCAGAGATACAGTGGCAGACATTTAACAGGATAATTCAGAATACACAGAATAGATACATCCAAACAGTAGAAATATTTCAAGGGAGAAATCCCACCATCTGTGGTTAAATAGAAATGTTAACGGTATTATCAAACTTAAAGGAAAAACATATAATTGTGTAAAACCAGTGGCAGGTCAGAAGACCGGGCAGGATATAACAAAAATAACTTAAGGAAAAATTAGAGTATGAGAGAAAACTAGCCAGAAACATTAAAATAGATAGTAAGAGTTTCTATAAATATTTTCAAAAGCAAACAGTTAATGAAGAGTGTTGGTACTATAGAAAGTGAGACTGGAGTATGATGGAAAATAAGGCAATGGCAGATGGATTGAACAGGTATTTTGCATCTGTCTTCACTACAGATGATACAAGCAATATCCCAGAAGCTGTGATAAATCTAAAAAATGGAAGGAGTAGTTCAGGAAAATCACAATCACTAGAGAAGTGTTACTGATTAAATTGTCAGAGCTACGGGCTGACAAGTGCCCACGTCCTGATGGACTTCATCCTGAGGTCTTAAAAGAAATGCCTCGTGAGATAGTTAATGGATTGGTTTAATTTTCCAGAGCTCCCTTCATTCTGGGAGGTTCCATTCGTTTGGAATTATAATTGTAATTACAACTCCTTTATTCAAAAGAGATGGAAACAGAAAGCAAGAAATTACACACCAGTCAACTTAACATCTGCCATAGTAAAAATGTTATGAGCTACAATTAAGAAGTTATAACAGGGAAAGTAGATATGTTCAAGGTAATCAGGCATAGTCAACATGGTTTTGTAAAAGGGAAATCATGTTTGACCAAATTATTGGAGTGTTTTGAGGAAGTAACACGTGCTGTGGATAAAGGGGAACCAGTGCATGTGCCACCCCAAAGGTTATTGTACAACATATAAGCTCATGATGTAGCAGGTAGCATATTGGCATGGACAGATGATTAGATGGTCAACAGGAAGCAGAGAGTAGGTATAAGTGGATATGTTTTCAGATTGGCAAAATGTCACAAGTGGATTACCACAAGGATCAATGCTGGGACCTCAACTGTTTGTAATTTAGACAAATCACTCTGATGAAGGGATGGAAAGTATGTTTGCCAAATTTGCTGATGACACAATGATAGAGGTGTTCAAAATCATAAAGGGCCTGGTCACTGTTGATAAAGAAAGACTTCTTAAGGATGAAAGAATGAGAGGGTACCATTTTAAGGTAATTGGTAAAAGAAGCATAGGAGACATGTGGAGAAAATTTTTAAGGTAGCAAATGGTTGGGGTCAGAGAGTGAGATGAACACAGGTTCAATTGAGGCTTTGAAACAATTATTTTTGGAAAAGAAAGAATGTGCAGGATTACATGGAGAAGCTGGAGAGGAATGGTACTTGGTAACTTGCTCATTTGGATGGTATCAGTGCAGACAGAAATACGAGTTAACGGACTTGATTCTCTCCAGATGCTGCCTGACCTGCTAAATATTTCCCACATTTTCTTTTTTTTTTTAAAATTTCTGGATTACTTGACAGTCTGATAATCATTTTATATAAACTCAATGGAGCATTTCTGTCAAGTGCCATTTTGATGCCTGTCCTTAGAAACGAGGGACTAAAAGAAATCAGCAACATGAAAAGATCCACAATGAATTATGCCATTTATAAAAGGACATTAGTGTGATAGTGGCAAATGAGACTTACCGCTATAAAATGGTTAGTTGAACATCTGGCACAGGAGCATTGAATGAAACACTGAAAAAAAGAGATGAGTTATATTTAACCCGCAGACGTTGAGAAGCTCAGCCTGGGACTGCTTTATGAGAGATGCAACATGTTTCTTGCACATCCATTCACCTATCCCTCTTCAATTCAAGCACTCATCTATTAGTCTTCTCATTGTACATGCATTCTTAAGGCACTGTCGACTTAGTCAGTCCAATATGCACCCTCAGGTCTTGTTTCCTATATTGGACAAGACTTATCAGAAGAACTAGCTAGGTCTCCTCTATACAAGATCAGGATTAAAGCAAAGGTTGCATGAATGCAAACAGGAAAACTGGCCTGTGCCTACACAGACATGGAGCTACATCTTACAGTTCTGTATCAAAACAAACTACCTACTGCGGCACACGCCAAAGTTTCATTTCTCCAGCCTGTGGAACCCGCCCTCAGATTATTTTCTGACATGAAACTCTATTCCTTTTCCTGTAATAATGCAGCATTTGCTGAAGCCAACCCTCTGTTGTGAGCTAGAGCATGAAAAAGACTGGGTGCCTTTTTTGGCATTACAGGCAATATCAGTAAACATTAAAGTTAAAAACCTGAGACATCAGTCCTCATTACAGTAGCCTCCTGTTTTCTACAGTGACACCAGGTAATAGATTTCAACAAAAACAGTTTGCTGAGATCCACCGACAGCTCACTGGGGAAATTAACTCATCGCAATTGGCACGTTGACAACAGCACTAAGTTAAGCACACTAGGAAAAAGCCAAGCCAATTTCATGCTGCCAATCTCTATTTAGTGACCCTGACAGTGAAACACCTAATCGTGTTCTCACCTCATCCTCTCAATCAGTGTCTGTTCTAATAAATATGCCTCAACCCTTAAGTACCCAGCCACGTCTGCTGGTACACACCCAACAAGCTTAAAGAATGGTCATTGAGGGCTGGTGGCTAGTACAGAATTGTATCCCAACACAATTGGCACCTATAGGTAAGGAAAATAAGGTTAGAAAGTTAGAAGAACAAAGATGCGTGGAGAAAAGGCACTAATTATTTTTAAGAAAATGATCAAACATATAAATTAGAAATAAAAGCATATTAAAAGCAAATGAGCAAAAAAATAGAAGTTTCAACAGAGCAGTGAGGAATCAAGCACACAACTCACCCGAGAAGCTCTCCTTGTTTATCTCTGAAGGAACAGTGAGGGAAGTATCAATGTGTCACAAAAACGTTTCAAATCGAGTTTCGACCTTTCATTGTACGACAGGAATTGAAACTGAAACTGAGCATTTCTCTGGAGCTGCATGGAGGGCCCACTGAAGGAGTACAGTGACATGCAACAAACATTGCATATTCAAAAGCTTCAATTTGTTCTACATAGTGGTGTTTGCATTAAAATCGTTCTTTCACCACTGTTCAAGGTGTATTAAAATAGACTTTATTTCTCTGTTTGTTTAGTCTGTAGTGACCGCTGGTTTTGAAAAGGATAGTTTTTAAATGAAGGACAAGAATGTTGGAGAGGGGATGGAGTGACAAATGAGTTTGAGACATTTAAAGGGAGAGCAAGTCCAGCCAGCAGAAGGCAGTCAGTTGCAGGAACAGCAACTCATATTCCGCTTGGGAACCCTGCAGCCCAATGGTATCAATGTGGATTTCACAAGTTTCAAAATCTCCCCTCCCCCCACCGCATCCCAAAACCAGTCCAACTCGTCCCTGCCTCCCTAACCTGTTCTTCCTCCCACCTATCCCCTCCTCCCACCTCAAGCCGCACCTCCATCTCCTACCGACCAACCTCATCCCGCCCCCTTGACCTGTCCGTCCTCCCTGGACTGACCTATCCCCTTCCCAACTCCCTACCTACACTCACCTTTCCTGGCCCCATCCCCGCCTCTTCGACCTGTTTGTTTCCTCTCCACCTATCCTCTCGTCTATCCCTCTTCTATCCGCCTCCCACTCTCTCCCTATTTATTTCAAAACCCCCTTCCCCTCCCCCTTTTCTGATGAAGGGTCTAGGCCCGAAACGTCAGCCTCTCTGCTCCTATGATGCTGCTTGGCCTGCTGTGTTCATCCAGCCCTGCACCTTGTTGTCTCGGATTCTCCAGCATCTGCAGTTCCTACTATCTCTCATGCACATTACAGTTTGGCTGTGTCACTGGGGCTTAGCTTTTGCTTTGGTCCTTCTGTTGTCGAACTCGTTATTCAATTTATTCATTTTTGGGATGTGGGCATTGCTGGCAATGCCAAAATTTAGTGCCCATTCCTGACAACTGAATGATATGCTGGGACATTTCATAGAAACATAGAAAATAGGTGCAGGAGTGGGCTATTCAGCCCTTCAAGCCTGCACCACCATTCAATGTGACCATGCAATTTCAGTGTCCCACTCCTGCTTTCTCTCCATACCCTCGATCCCTTTAGCTGCAAGGGCCACGTCCAGCTCCCTCTTGACTATATCTAATGAACTGGCCCCAATGGCTTTCTGTGGGAGAGAATTCCACAGGTTCACAACTCTGAGTGAAGATATTCTTCCTCATCTCAGTCCTGAATGGCTTACCCCTTTATTCTTAGGCTGTGACCCTTAGCTCTGGACTTCCCCAACATCGGGAACGTTCTTCCGCCATCTAGCCTGTCCAGTCCCATCAGAATTTTATATGTTTCTTTGAGATACCCCCTAATTCTTCTTTCAGAGGATATTTAAGGATCAAGACATATTACTGTGGGTCTGGAGTCATACATGCAGTCTGCACTGTGTGAAGATAGCACGTTTCCTTTGTTTATAGGTCAGCAGAGAAAAATATGAGTTCTGACAACAATCCAATAAGAAATAAGAACTGGGAACAGGAGGAGACAATTCATTCCCTTGAGTCTGCTCTGCTGTTAAATACAATCATGGCTGATCTCATCTCAGCCACAACTCTACTTTCCTGCCCGGTCTCTATAACCTTTTAACCCATTACTGATTAAAACTAATATATAGTATCCTGACATCCAGTGCACTCTCATGTAGGGAGTTCCACAGATCCACAACACTTTGAGAGAAGTAATTTCTTCTCATTTCTGTCTTAAATCTGGTACCTCTTCTCCTAAAACTGTGCCGAGTGTTCTAGATCACCCCACGAGGAAACATCCTGTCTACATCTACTTTGTTAATCCCCTTTAGCATCTTATATATCTCAATCAGATCTCTTCTCATTCTTCTAGTGGGTTGATCTGCTCGATCTCTCCTCGTAAGTCAAACCCTTTCATCTCAGGAATGAATAATTTCATGGTCACCATTATTTGTTATCCTGCAGCTAATTAATTACCTGAATTTAAGTTATCCAACAGCTGTGAATACATGAATTTGTGCCTCTGTATCATTTAAGGCAGAAGCTTCCCCACCCCCTTGCTGACAAATAAGTTGGAAAAATCAGGTGAGACCAGCAGTATTGAGATTCACAATGTTGAGAACAGAAAATGCCGTTCAAGGACTAAGTGTTGAACAGCGAGACGAGAATCCCAACAGGGAGCAGCAAGTGGCCTATTTGCATCTATTTGCCTGTATTTGCATCTCATTATTAGTTAATCTCACCTCATTTATATGCAGGTTCCCATCCTCCTGCTCCGGATAGAATTGATGCTGAGAATTCCTGACATGAAAGTCAGAATGGGTTACCTGGAGACTCCAGAGCTCCATCTGGCACACCTGGCACCAATGTCTCAGGGGACACTCCATCCACAAAGATGGAACACACATCCCCCATCCACAGATGTTGGCATTGGTCATGTACTAGCCTCACTGCACCTTCATGGCACATCTCCGATCCAGTTCTGCACTTCAAAGCTGCACTTTAAGAGTACACTGCCACCTTTAGTTGTAATGCTGCTGCCAAGACACTGTGCCTGCAGGGACACGCACCCAGCTCATGGATTGGACCAGCTACATCTCGGGGTTCCTTGCTTAATCTCTTAGCCCTCACTCACTTTGTGCTATATCTTTTGAGCTTTGCCCCCTCAGCCAGAGTTTAAAGGATCATAGCCTTTCTGTCTTGCCTTGCTACTTAATGCAGACATAAAGCCAGACAGCTTGTCATGGTTGTCAGCAGTGATCAGTCTTAGGGGGTTGAGCATGTTGCTGTACCACACTGTGTGATGCCAATCTGACATCTCCACCATGTGCCAACAGTGCACGCAGGAAGCACACTTCATGTACATCAACCAAATGGCCATGTCTCAATGTCTGAAGGAAGTAGCCTTCATCCAGGTATACTGGCACAGTAAGTCAAGTGCAACATCTAAGATCAGTCCTGAGGCATGGGCATGGTCAGTCAGCCACTTGAGGTGGTCTGGGTCAGGAGGTCCATATCACTATGAATGAGTCACGGCCAGCCCTGGAGGTGCAGCACAACCAGTTCGGGGAATCACGGTAGATCAGTCGGGAAGCTGCACAGAAATCAGTCAAGGGTTTGGTCTGTCATGATAATCCATCTAAATTGGTCAAGAGAGTGTGGGCTACGGTCAGTATGGGGCTATCCAGCAGATTTCAGCAGGTAAAACCCAAGCTCTATTTCGTATTTTTTTTCTTTTAGAACTGTGTCTATTATGGGATCATGAAAGGCCTTTTGTTTCCCCATTCTTTTGTGAGAAGTGGGGGCTGCTGGTTAGGCCAGCATTCGTTGCTCATCCCTATTTGCCCTTGAGAAGGTGGCAGGTAAGCCATTTTTTGAAATGCTACAGTCACTGTGCCATGGATACACCTACAATGTTGTTAGGAAGACAGCTCCAGGATTTTGACCCAATGACAGCGAAAGAGTGAGATATTGTTCCAAGTCAAGACGTCGTGCGGCTTGGACAAAGGACTTGACAGTTGATGATGTTCACATATATCTGCCTTTTTTTGTCCTTCAAGGTGGTAGAGGTCACGGGTTTAGTAGTGCTGTCAAAGAAGCTTGGGCGAGTCTCTGCAGTGCACTTTTTAGATGGTACAAACTGCTGCCACTGTGCACTAATGGTGGAGGAAGTAGATGTTGAAGATGGTGGATGGGGTGCCAGTCAAGGGGCCACTTGTTCTGGATGCTGGTGAATTTCTTGACTGTTGTTGGAGCTACACTAAAATCAGGAAAATGGAGATTATTTCATCATAATCCTGACTTAAGGCTTGTAGATGGTGGACAGGCTTCAGGGAGATAAGAGGTGAGTTATCCGTTGCAGATTCCTAGCCTCAGACCTGTGCTTACAGTCACAGTATTAGTAGAATCACAGAAAAATTTACAGCACAAAAAAATGATCCCTTGGCAAACTAATCCCTGAGAACCATAGGGCCACTTTCTCATTTGAGACAGATGATTGGTGTTGAGTTTAACCTGAGGGTCACCACTCCTCGAATGAGGTGGAGAAGCTGGAACCTCAGCTATATCAGGAATTGAAGCCATGCTGTTGACATCACTCTGCATCACAAACCTCTTGCCCAGCTAACTGACTCCCAACTTGGCCCAACATGACTGTGCTCGTGCAGAACAAGCCATCCACCCAATCCCATTTCCAGCATCTTTCCCAACATTTCAACTCTGTACGTTTCAGCTCTTGACATGGATACCCAGACTCTGCTTAAACAAATTGATGGTTTCTGCCTCTACTGACCTTTCAAACAATGAGGTCCAGACCCTTAGTGCGAAAACCTAATCCTCCCTTCTAACCTCGCGACCAATAACTTTAAAACAATGCCCGTTAGTCACTCACCTCTCTGCTAAGGTAAATAGCTTCTGTGTCTCGGTCAAAGCCGGATGGCCAATTTTGGTTTCACTACTTATTGACTTTTCTGTAGCGATTTGATGTCTGGGACCTGTTTCAGGCCTTTTCACATTGCTGTAGCACATAGACCTGACCAGGTATGGATGACATATTTGCTTAGGGAGTTATATTTTATTACAAATATAAAAATTTGACCTGCGCTTTAAAGATAGCATTGTTCAAGGTTTTTGAGAAGTTTTGTAGTTTGGGTTGTTGACTTGCTCACCGAGCTGGTAAATTTGTTTGCAAACGTTACGTCACCATACAAGGTGACAGCATCAGTGCACCTCCGGTGAAGCGTCGATGTTCTGTCCTGCTTGCTATTTATACTGGGGTAGGTGGTATCACTTCTGAATTTGTTTCTTAGTGGTTGGTATATGGGGTCCAGCTCTACGTGTTTGTTAATGGAGCTCTGGGGAGTGCCAGGCTTCCAGGAATTCCCAACAGGAAGACACAACACGTCCAGAGGCACTTGTCACCCTACCATACATTAAAGGACATGTCTGAAATGACCACTGATTA